TAAGAAGTTTTGGAAGAACAACCTAGCCTGTCGAACAATAGCTAAAGCAAAAGAAATAGGAATAAACATTAAGGCAGAAAAACCCTTGTGGAAGGTTTATGGATATGGTAAACAGATAAGAGACATACTAAAAACAAAAACATGGGTAGCAAGCAGCAGTATAATAAATGAATGGAGGTTGTTATACTTAAATCTGTTATATTTTCTTATTTTAATTTTATTATTGTGATATACAAGGTCACTAGGATATTTCCCAATGTTACCCTAGTGACCTGTATATCATTTCTGCAAAAATGGTCACTTCAGAATCTGTAGCCAGATTTTGTTTCGGAAAGATGCAGTATGGGCAAAATTATCAGTTAGTGTTGGTCAAAAAAAAGTTTTTCTGTATGACGCCAGTTTTTGACTTTTTTCTAAATATGGAAATTTTGACCAAACAGAGTTTATCCGGATTTAATTTCTGGCCCATTCTAGTGACCGGCATGGCGTAGCACAACTCAACGCCAGATTTTTTACATTTTTTTTTAACCAATAAAATTTATCATTTAATTAGAAGCCAGAAAAGTTACTTTTTCGAAAATAATAAAATCCTGTTAGAAATTAAAGTGTTTTTTTCGAAAATTTTAATAGAAAATTAAATAATATCGTTTTATGAAACTACATGTTTTTTGATCTATTCTATATTTTTTATTAATGACACAAAGTTGATTAACATAATAAATTCTTGCGTAAATTGTGTTTTTTGTACTGACGACGATTTTAAATTTTATTTATTTATTTTTATAAATATTATATATAAAAATCATAATACGAATCAAATTTACACAAAATTTTTTTAAACAAAATAATAAATATATATATTATAATTTAATTAAATAAACTAGAAAAATTATTTGTTTCGAAAACTAAATTATTTTTATAAAAAATTTTAACTATCTTAACATCAAGATTTAAAAATAAAAATTCATCTTCGATAATTTCAAATGTTTCAGCATTTTTAAAACTAATAAAAATATAAGAAAAATCATCTAAAATCTCATTCATAATACATAAGATATTATGACTAAGAAAAAATCTCATTTCGTAACCTTTATCTACTTTAAAAAATTTAATATTAAAATATCTACCATCAACTAAATAATGAAAACAAAAACTTTTTTTATTTTTTAAACATTCTGCTTGTACAAATTGTTTTTCTAAGTCAACAAAATCTTTATAACTCGTAATTTCATTGTTTTTTTCAGTAATTTGAAAAGAATTTTTAACATTTTCAATACATTTATTATTTGTTGGTTGTAAAGGTTTTGAATAAGGTTTTGTTTGATTCTTTAACTGTTTATAAATTTCACAATGATACCTATTATAATGTTTCATAATACTTTGATGTTTATTTTTAGGATTACGAAATTTATAATTACATCCTTCTTGAAGACATGAAATAGATTCATTATCTTCAATTTTATATAAATTTAATGTAGACATTTTTTAATAATAATTATTTAAAAATTTTAATAATGTGGAAATTTTGGCACTGTGGAAATTTTGACACTGGAAATTTTGGCGCTGTGGAAATTTTGACTCTATTTATATTTTTTATTTAATTATATTAATTAATAATATAAATTATATTTTAATAATATTTATTTAAAATTATATTATGATAAGTGTTTTATAATATTAATAACGTTTTTGATTTATTTTTATTTATTTTTATAAATATTAAATAAAATAATAATCATATAAATTATATTTACACGAAATTTTATTATGTTAAGTGATTTTGTTGTTTAAACAAAAGTTGTTCAGCATAATTAGAAGTACTAGAATCTTTGTTTTTATGAATATTGGATATAAATTCATTGAATAATAATGATTTTTCTCTTTAAAAACATATAAAATTAATTTTCTAACGAGAATAATCAATCGTAATCAGCTTTGGATTAATTTTCCTTATTCTAAACCTACTTTACGCTTCTAAGTAAAGTTGTTGAGCATGCTTTCATCTATTAGTATGTTAAATTTCAGATTTTTAGAGTTAATATTCATGAAGACATTAACGTTTTTCTGTTTTGTTTTATAAACAAATTTCAGTTTGATGTAAATATGATGATCAATTGAGGTCATCATTTTTTATTTTGATTTTAAACTTCATACTGCGTTTTAAGATAATTGATAGAGTAAGTGTATAAAATTTTTCTCTGAAAATTTGAGATTGTTTAATCAAAAATTCATGAAGATATAACATTTTTTCATTCAAAAACTACTGACAAAATTTTTTCTTTAAAGTTTACAGAATCGTTTTTATTAATTTGACTATTTCACTCAAAGAAAACATTTTGTACAATACTAATGAAGTTGGTGCAGATGATATTCAAGAATTCAAATATTAAATTTCAAGTCAAATGGATTGATATTTATGAAATTAGGTCAAATTTTGATGAAATGATTTTCGTTTTATCTTTGCAGATCATTTTTTATAATCATCGTCAGTACAAAAAACACGTTTTACACAAAATTCTATTAAGCTAATCAACTTTATGTCATTAATAAAAAATGTAGAACACATCAAAAAACATATAGTTTCATAGAACCGTTTTATTTATTTTTCTAGTAAAAGTTTCGAATAAATCACTTTGTAATTCTATCGAGATTTTAACACTTTCGAAAAACTAACTTTTAGATTCGCTTCTAATTAAAATTCAAATTCGATTGGATAAAAATATAAAAAATCTAGTATTAAATTTTACAAATTATATTGGTTCTTATTTTTTTTTTTTTTTTTTTTTTTTTTTTTTTAAAAGTGAGGTCTTGCCTCGATTTCTTTATTGATTATTAATATCT